TATGACTTTCTTCGATGTGGCCTGTAAAATTAAACAAATTTCACAAAATAAATAAATGCTTTACCCAAACAGTTAAGATAAAAAAAAAATTCAATTGTTCTGCATAATATCTAACGAGCTTAAAAAACAATTCAAGGTACAAATGTAATCCTGAATTGGCATCAAATAAACCCTACATTAATGGAAAACATTCCTTATAACTAGCGCAAACATGATAAAACATCATTTAAAATACATTAAACTTGTAAATAACCAAACTTTTCGACCAGGTACTAACTACTAACCAAAATGCTTCATCAGTTCACCAAAAGGAGAACGGGAGAAAACCCATAAAGATAAATTTAAAAATCACAGCTTGTTTTTAGATCCTAACGCATGGAACGTGGCTTTTTAAGTATAAAAATCGAGACCAATTGCCCTCTCAAACAATAATAACCATAAGAACATAAATTAATTGGACAGAGGAAACAAGAAGAAGAGAAAATACTAATGGATAAACGTGTCTTTTTTTTTTTGGGGGTGGGCGATTACCATGGTTTCGATTTCAACGAGATGGCGTATGGCATTCAGGAGATATGACATTAGTATTGAGCACTCGGCACCCCCACACCCATGCAAAACAAAATTTTAATTCTTAATTGGAAATTTGCTCTGTTAAACTCCTTATTTTATCGAGGAAAATGGATCAGGGTTCCGAGAGTTAATTCAACAAAGAGTAGCGGGGTTAGAACCCTAGGTAGGACTAGAAGATAGTTGAAAAATGATAGGCTAATTTCACCTATTGTAACCTCAATGAGACTAATAACACTACTCTTCAATATATGGTTATGAATATTGTTATATATTACAACTTCCTCACCCTCTTTAAAAAGTTACTCTTTGTTCAATGAACTTTGTTACGCGTTACTATTTGCTTACCGAAATTTAAAAGGTTACTTGTTGCTCACTCAAATTTGGACAAAGTTATCCATCAACCACTCATATCATTTCCATCAATATTACATATAACAAAGTTTAGTGAGTAACAAGTAACTCTGTTCAAATTTAGATGAGCAACACGTAATATTTCAAATTTTGGTGAGTAAGTGGTAACTTAGGGATGACTGTGGGTTGGGTTAGGTCGATTTTTTTTAATAACTAAAATTCAATCCAATATGATCGGTTTGATCTAAAATCAAAATAACTCAACTCGATTATTGGTTTAAACCCAACCCAACTCAAATTGATTGAGTTTGCGTTGCGTTGGGTTGGGTTGAAAGATAATTTCGATTACTTGAAAACCTCCATTTTTTTTAACACATATATAAGGAATTCATTTTGAAAAAATAATATATATATATACACATAATTTTTTAGGATTCATTCATTTCCTCGTCATATCATTAATTTTTATTTTATCGTCAAATAACTTTACATTTGTTCATAGTATTCATGTCAATCAGATTATGTAAAAAAAAAAAAGGATGATTATAAATTATTAATCCTCTTATATTCACCATTGCGTCTATTTAGGTTTTTTTTTTTTAATATTATTTTTTTAATTTATTGGATTGGGTTGAGTTTTAATTCAAAATCCGAAATCCAACCCAACACAACCACAAATTTGATTTTTCAACCCTAACTAATCCAATTGAACTTAAGAACCAACCCAAAGTGATTGATTTGGGTTGTGTTGCACGGGTTGAACGGTTTGGTTAATTTGAGAGTAGTATGGCGATGCATTGAAAGATGAAGGTAGTAGTACAGGGAGAACATAAAGGGTATATTGGGGCAAACTAGAAATATCTATCATCGTAATCCTCTTGGGACATTCATTTCTGAAGTGAAAATCGTTGTTGTAACATTACTTGAATTCAAAAGGCACATTATAAAATAACACAAATACAAATCAAGAATCCTTTAAATACTCAATTAATCAAATCCACAATAAAACGTAATTCCTATTTTTTCAAATTATTCTTCATATATATATATCTTCCATTGTTGTTTTGATTTAGTTGAAGGGGATATTTTATTATGATTATTAGGGCTTTAGTTCAACGCAAATTCTAAAAGAATATAAAAAGGTCCAAAATAATTATTAGTGGATAAATTTAGAACGATATATTTTTATTTAATTTTATGTATGTCTATTTACTTAAATTAACATAAGATTAAAAATATAATATATTTGTCTTTTTAAAAGTAGTTATATATAAACCGTGGATGTAAATAACGACTCTCTAAATTTTTCATGATTATGGGTTTTCTCCAAATTTTCTTTAAAATAGGGTACAAATATTCAATTGTCCATTTTTTTTAAATAAGAAAAAAATAATAATACAAAAATACGATTAAATATTTAACCATCATTTTAAAGCACGTTAGTAATCCAACCTACCCGCTAAGACTATAACGTAACTAAATAATTTTGGATGAAAGTCATGATTTTTTTATTTCTTAGAACGTGTTGTTAGAAAGTAGAAAAAAATGTTACAGATCCACGCGCAAAATTAATTTTATTAGAGGAATACATGGTTGAAAATGAAATTGAAGAAAAATAATTTTTAAACAAGAATCAAATTTTTAGTATAATTGAAAAATTGATAAAAGTTATAGATCCCGTGAAACATGTAATTGAAAATGAGTTTGAGAAAAAATAAGTTTTATAAGATGGGCAGCAAACATAGGTTAGCTTCGTTCTTGTTTTTAGTATGGTTTGTGAAGGTTTGACAATGATATCAGTCCACACACCGAACTAGTTTCAGTTAATGCAAACCTTGTCCAATCCATGTCCAATAATTTGTAAAATTCTCTATCATATCAATTAGGGTCTGACATTTCCATACTACCTCATTATGACTTCCGTAACATCTTGAAGACTTCAACATCCCAAGGTCACGATACTAACAACATCTGCACTATATCGGCATGCCTTCATCTTCCTTCTCTATTTCTTTAACATCTCGACCCTTGTCTTGAACATAGTACAACGATGATGACATTGGACAATAAATTCGTCATCAAAGTTTAAACATGGGACCTTTAATTTGTTCCACCCATCAAAGCCACATAGGCATATTCATATAAGATGACTTGACAACAATTATGTTGGAATCTACAGCTGTTGGAATCTAGTTAATTCAGTTTGATTAGTCAGTTAGATTAATTGGTTAGTTTGCCATTTTCTATAAATACACTCCTTGTGTTGAAAGTTGAATTGGATGAGATCAATATAATTTCTCATCCCATTTGTTCTATCATTTTCTTCTCTGTTTTCTTTTCTACTATGGAGCTTAATTCAAGCTTCTTGATGAAGTCATGGTTTTCAATTCTTCTAGAATTTAACATGGTATCAGAGAAGATTTGCTGGTTTTTGTTGGTTTCTGCTGCTCTTCTGATCAATTTCTGCTACAATTCTTTATTCAATCTTCATGAATAATCATTGAATTGCTGTTACCATCCCATCAGTTGGTCATCTGTGAGCAAGTCTGCCATAGATGAATTTCACGTGGCCAAGGAATTGTAGTCCCTTGACCACATCAGAAATAACTTTTGAAGGCTTGGATTTGATATCCCCATTTGTGTCTTCCTTTATCTTCTCTTCAGCAGGCTTACCTTCCCACACCTGCGTCTGCTTCTGAAACTGTTGTTGCTTAGCTTTCTTCTCCTGAATTCTCTTCCGGTGATCCTCATAGAACTCAAAATCATCCAAGACGCATTGTTTGCTTGAATGATCCTTGAATATTTTGAGCATTTGAAGCCCCTGCTCCAATTTAACCTCTTGGGTGTCCCTGCTATTAGTAACAGGGCGACTTTAGAAGACATCGACGAAAGAGTGGCCCAGCTTTCTCGAGATCAAGGGCAGAGTTAGACTTTACGCATTGGAAAAATTCTTTCGAGAACTCCCTATGTCTCGAACTCTTGCAGTCCTGATTCTCTACTTTGTCTTGAAGACTATAATGCAAGATGATCGTTCCCTCTCTTATCCAAGATGGCCGTTCTCAATCTTTACCGTCCATTTTGAGGGGGCGTGTTGGAATCTACAGCTGTTTGAATCTACAGCTCCATTCTAGTTAATTCAGTTTGATTAGTTAGTTAGATTAGTTGGTTAGTTTGCCATTTTCTATAAATACACTCCTTGTATTGAAAGTTGAATTGGATGAGATCAATATAATTTCTCAGCCCATTTGTTCTATTATTTTCTTCTCTGTTTTCTTTCTACTATGGAGCTGAATTCAAGCTTCTTGATGAAGCCATGGTTTTCAATTCTTCTAGAAAATTTAACAAATTATGGACATCGATCACCCAACGATTGAGGAGAATCTTGATATAATTCAGAGTACAAGATCAAGTCGAGCCACAGGCCCTATAGGTTATTTTCTCATACTGCAAGTCACACTTCGACATCTGATTCTTGACATCTACTAGGCCAAACTTTTTCTGAAGCCTTACATGGTTATGGAGAGATATGAAAGACTGCAGTCACAAGCTATGGTGGTTCATTGTGGTTGCAGTAGATCATCCCTCACCTCAACTATTACAACTTTAACATGTAGGGAAAAATCTCATTCTTAACCAAAATTTGTAAATTCCTATTCCTATATAGAGTTTTACAGAGAAGAAAATCTATGTATCCAATATGATCTTGCTAATTGTCTATATCTTCAGCAATTTGTACCAAAGTTTTCAGATGAAAACTTTTAATAAAACATATGCAGCATATAACAGAGAAAGTATATATCTTTCAATAGAATGGAGAGAAAAATCTAGGCCAATAAGGGCTATCAAACACAATTGTGTCAATTTTCCTGCAGTTTCATAAACATTTTCAATCAATATTCGAACTCTGTAGTCTATCAAGATAGATGTATATGTAACATAAAAATCTAAAACGAATGAATTCTAGTTTCATAAACATTTTCAATCAATATTCGAACTCTGTAGTGTATCAAGATAGATGTATATGTAACATAAAAATCTAAAACGAATGAATTCTAGTCCGTTCACATTCAATTTCTTCAGCATCTATCATTCAGCCACTTCAATATATGGCCACGAACAATTGTAATATTTTCATCAGTCTCCCCAAACAACAATGAATGCAACATTCCATCATAAATCTTGATGGTTTTGTCCTCACTCTTGGACAATTCATACAATTCCCTGCTCACATCTGGATCAGTAACCACATCTGCATTCCCATGTAGAACAATAAATGGAAGCTTAACATCAGTCAATTTTCTACTAACATAATCTGTCACACGAAGCAATTCAATAACTGTGCCTAATCTTGGTTTCCCTAGATATCTCATGGGATTCATAGCAGCAATAATTTTCTTTTCTGGGACTTTGACAGATTTTTGCATCAAATCAGCAGTTGGCACTATGGGCAAGGTGGGTGCAAATCTTGCAAAAATTGTTAAGATTTCTGGAATAGGCCACTTAGGCCTGACTTTTTCACTGATTTTACACATGGGGGCTATAAATATTGCACCTTTGAAGAAATCAGGTGTCTTGAAATGGATTAGTAAACAGATTGCTCCACCCATTGACTCACCGTACAAGAATCTTGGGAGGTTTTGCAAAATTGGATCTTGGGTTAATACACAGTTGAAGAATGAGATGCAGTCTTCTACAACAAGGTCAACATTGGGGACATAGGCCTTGAGGCCTTGGGAGAGGCCATGGCCCTGTAAATCAAGGGCAAAACAGGCAAACCCGTTTTGGGCAAGGAAGATTGGGGTGGCCTGAAAAGTCCAGCTGATGTCATTGCCATAGCCATGGACCATACAGATGATGCCACGCGGAGGGGTGGATGAAGGGGGTTGCCAAGATCTGGTGAATAGTTTTAGGCCTCTGGGAGAGGTGTAGTAAGATTTGGTTGACTTGATGCCCTGTTCAATGTAATACTCTTCCTCTGTTGTGTTTCCCCAGTAGAAGGGTTGGCTCTTCTTTTGCTCGTCCTCCATTTTCTGCTCTCTGTTTCTGGGAATTAGGTATTTTATTTGGGGTGTTTTGGGAATGAGATTCAGTCCGTTTTCAGTGGTGGAAATAAATTTTGATTGGCGAATAGTCTTTTCTAAGCCTTTGACTTGGGTTCTGCGGTGAATTGATAAATTCCTAGAAGTTTCTGACTGAAATGTAATTTGGGCAGTTTCACTTTTTTCACCTAATCCACCAGTCACCACATTTGGGTATTTATTTTGTGGGCAACAATTCTCCGACTGAAATTTGGTGTGGACAGATCCAGTATCGGAAGGCACCATTTGGTAAGTTCTTTTTCTTGTTTTGTTCAATTTTGATCGTGTTATTATCAATGTTCTAAAAGGCGAGCCTAGGCGGGAAGCGTGATGAAAATGCTTCGCCTTGAGCCTAAGCGGGAATTAAGCGGTCAACATTGTAGCGAGCCTAGGTGGGAAGCGTGATGAAAACGCTTTGCCTTGAGCCTAAGCGGGAATTAAGCGGTCAACGACAATGTTGACCGCTTGATGCTCGCCTAGGCGTTCCTAGGAGACACCTAGGTGTGCTTTCGCCTTGAGCCTAAGCGGGAATTAAGCGGTCAACGACAATGTTGATCGCTTAATGCTCCCCTAGACGTTCTTAGGCAATGCATAGGTGCACCTCCTCCTCAGGCCCAGATTTTAAGGGGGCCCAATTTTTTCATTTTTTTTAAAAATGAAACCCACAGCCCAGACTTAGTAGTCCACTATCCCTTCAAACTTCAAAAACTCCAGACTCCACAGAACTGAGAATACGGAAGAACGGTAAAAAAAAGGACGAAAAAACGATGCAAAACCTCTCAATTTCTCCGCACACCGCACTGATTTGGATATCAGGTACGTAAAAAATGATCAAAATGAATTAAGGGAACTCGAGAATGATGATTTTGTATCAGACGATACGGATGACGAATTAGATGAAGAAGAAGTTATTGAATTGAAGTCCTATGAAGAGTTGAATTAGATAAGATTTAAGCTACAAGTTATGTACGTTATATAATTATGATTTTGCAACTTATCTTTATGTAGGAATTATTAACTAAATACTGTATTTTATAATTTTAGATGTTTAGTATGTATTATTTGAATTATTGAATTTTTTTACAATGATTAAAAATTTAAAATAAAAAACCTTTTTTTAAGCCTAAGCTTCGCCTAGGCTCGCACAGGCTCGTAAAGCTTGAAACTTGGCCTCCACGCCTAGCCACGCTTTACACTTTTTAGAACACTGGTTATTATTGATTAAATTGTTTCTTTAGTCAATCTTCAGAAGTTGGGAAGATCTTCTCCCTTCTATTTGTTTTGTTTTGATCTAGGGTTGAAGTTTGAACCCCAAATTGTATTTATTGTTTCACAGCAGCTAGCGTCGCGATGGGTGGTGGGTGTGTGTATGCTGTGCATGTGTGTGCAGTAGCGGAGTGGAGTTGTGATGATGGTGTTGCGTCAAGGTGTGGTGGTGGTGTTAATGCTGGTTGTAGTGGATTCAAATCTGGTTGGTGGTGGTGTTGATAGTGTGTGGTTAGATGCGGTGGTGGTGGTGGTAGGTGTGTGTGCTGTAGGTGCGGTGGTATTGGAGACGTGGGGGCGACACTGTTGGTGTGTGGCGTTTGACCAGTTGTGGAGCAGATGTGGTGTGTGATGGGTTGGTAGGTTCAGATCTGGTTTGATGGTGGTGGTAATAATGGTGAGGTGGTGATGTTGTAGTCGTGATGTTGTGTTGTTATTGTTGGTGGTGGTGGTTGTGGTTGTGTTAAGGCGACCGGATGAAGAGTGTTTGTGACAACTATTTTCTTGATTTGTGACCAAGTATTGATGGTTGATCGGGATCGGGGGTTGAGTTTTTGGTGTATGTGACCAACTATTTGGTTCTCTGTGACTAATCGTTAAATCGTGACCTTAAAATTTGATAAATTGTGACAAAAAATTTCAAAATATGTGACCGATAGATAAACTGTGACTTATAAATTTTTTGATCTGTGACCAACGAAATAAACTATGACCTATAAAATTTTTGATTTGTGATATCAAAATAATCTGTGACCAATAAAAGTCGTGAGCTATAATTATGTATCTATGCCCATTAATTATATATTATCATATTTAATTAATAAATATATATTTAATTTATAAATAAATTTTTGCATTTGTGAAACTTATAGCCTGATTTATGATTTTTTTTTTTCCCTTGAGAATATGCTTTTCCAAATGGGCTGAACTTTTCGCGGGCTCAGCTCGGACTCCGTCCATGAATGGTTTGGGCTTGTTGTAAGATGCTCCATGGGCCAAGCCAAGACGAGCTTGCTCGTGGACATGAGCTCCTGAGCCTACTCATTTGGTATGGTGGGCTCGACTAGTACGTGTTCGTGGGCCGGCCTGTTTTTTGCTTAATTTTTGGACATATATTGTTAATTTATCTTAAAAAAAAATAAAAATGAACCAGCTGGTGGGCAGCTTGGCACATTTGGTCTTGTGGGTGGTTGGCTCGGATCATGAGGCCCACGAGCTGAAGATCGAGCCGAGCCCAGTTTTTGAGCACGAGCAGAGCTAGAGCTTGCCTTGTGGTAGAAGTGCCGAGCCAAGTCGACCCATTGCCATCCCATGCAAACCCCAAATAACGTAAAGTATTGAATCCTGTGCAAGAGAAATGTATTGTAATTTTGCCTTTGCTCTTATAGGTGATGTTAAGATGGTGTGATCCTGCCTTTCACTTTTCACTTTTACCTGATTCTTCCTACACATGCAGTGAACTTGTTTTGACATATTTGATCCAGAACTACTAATTATAAGAATGACAGAACTTGCAGAAAAATAAACTAAAAAAGATTTACAATTGTTCTGATCAGATGAAGCAGAAATTAAATCTCATTGGGCTATTAACTTGTTCAGCTCACGCAGTAGAAATAGTCCCAAAAGATTGTTTTCTAATCATACTTATACCACCCCGATTTTTTAGGGGAGATGAAAACTAGCAGAGGAGATCTTACGTCGTCCTTTGTCTTCCTCTTGGTAGGGAGTGATGGCAGAGGCTTCGAGAAAGTCCTGGATGTGCGATCAATAGGAAGGTAACTTGCTTTCTTCCTGTCATCACTAAGTGTTGACAGAGGCTTTGAGGAATTCTTTCTGCAATCTCTTCCACATAAGCAATTGATTCATCGATGCAAGACTCTGGATTTTCATTCAAGTGGCAATAATAATTCATCTTTCCACCTGCTTTTTCCTTCTGTACTTTCAATCAGAATCGAGAATTTTCTGTCATTAACAAACTGAAAAAGCATATTTCATGCAAGAAATTTTTCCCCTTTTAAATTACATGATATCTTCAAGTGTCATTCAGTGATCGGGTTATAACCATGAACAATTTCGTTGTATTGTCTTATTCTGTAGGTTTGAGCCTTTCATTTAAGCCTGGATTTAAGAAACCAATTCTGGAAGAATAGCGGCGTGTGCTGCAATTGATATCATTCCAGTTTCAAGATCTTCATCCACAGATGGTATATACCCTTTGTGGCTCCAGGCTTTCTCTGCCATCTAGGAAACAAATATTTCATGCCACTTTCAATCAAGTTTTGTAATTTAGAATGCATTAATTTTAATGATAAATATGGCAACTATAGGAAGTTGAGGTTACAAACTTACAATATCTTTAAATTTCACTCCAATCTAGACTTCTTTCTTTTTGCTAATATTAATTTTATCATGGATATTATGTCATCAATGTTATGGTTCCTATGTTTGTTTTCTTTTCATCTATTTTTCTTTATGGGATCCTTATTTTCTCATTTATTTGCGCACTCATTCTTCCATTAATTATGAGGAAACTTAGGTTTGGAAGTGTGAGTAAATTGTTCGATCTAGTGACATAAAAAAATTTAGAGTCAAACATGTTGATAAGTATATTTTATACTCTTTTCTCAGTCATTAAACTAGAACAATTATTGTTATTTTGGATGAATTGAGGTTGAATTTTATACATATTTCGTTTGTTAGGTGCAACTCGAGAAAAACAATGAAATTGGACAAAATGAGCGAAAAATTGGGTAAAGTGGGCTTAATCCAAAGTTTGGGGACTAAATCTCAAAGTGCTAATAGTTGATTCAGACTTAATGTTAATGATTGAAGAAGAGGTGGACTGGTGGAGGCAATTAGATGGAATTGGAAGATTGGGAACCAAGAAGATATCAAAAAATGGACTAGAAGGAATGAAGAATGAACTCTAGGGACCATAATGCAACAAATAAAAAAAAATTATATGGTGCACGCACTGGCCTGGATGTCATTTACCGAGACCAAAAGTGGTCTATGGTGCGCACGGGCAAAAATCTTGGAAAATCGGACGGAATCCTTATTTGATCAAAATTCTCTTCGGAATGCAATTTTATCATCTATTTAACACCACAAGAAGAAGGCTAGCATGAGATTCAAAGGCAATTAATACAAGAGATTGAAGATTCAAAGTTCGAATTGAAGATTAATGAAGAAGAAATTGATTTTTCGCTTTCCAATCATTGTTTTCAATTTCGGGCGATATTTTTCCAAATCTTTTTATGTAATTTACATAACATGTTAAGCTAATTCTTTTCAGGTATTGGACGAAGATTAAACCTTTTATTATTTATTGTTTATTCAAGACAAATAGTTAGTAAAATTCTTGTTTTTCTTGATTAATCTTCTATGCGGAATTTTATTATTTGGTTGTTTGATCACTAATTAAATATATAGTTGCTTGTTGTTGTATTGGAGACTCACAATAGGTCTAGAACACTGCTTGCAATAGATATTAGGAATAATGTTTATCACGTATGCAATCTTTTATATAATTGTAAAATTGAATGCTTTCTATTCATTCGAATCCGAACAAGGAATAGATTCGGGTCTGACTAGAATAGATTTAATTTGCCTTGAAAAAGAGAATTAATTACAATAAAATTATTGATTGTCCAGTATGCATGAATGATACTAGCTACGTAATCGAGAATTAAAATAAATAATAATAGGTGGATTCGTAATTTAATACACTCATTCTATATACATACAAAACTCGAATTTTACAAGCTTCCGTAAATTAATTTAATTTAGAATAATTATAAAATACAAATCTCTATTGTTTGCTCACTTTGAATCTGATTAGGAATTAGTACACTTGAATTGAATTTATTCTCCGTGAGACCATAATTCTTAATTCATCACGTATTACTTGTTAATGATCTTGTACGCTTGTAAGTTTCGCATAAACACGTATCTAGCGTCGAATATCAATGAGAGGATAA